CCTTGGAAAGCTGAATCACTACCAAGAGTTCCGCCTGTCCACAACGTCCACAACACACGAAACCAAGTCCATATTGGCATACAGTCTCGGCGGTTTCAACACGTGGTCGACATGACGCGCCTCTAATCAGCAACTTCCAGTCAAGTCAGAGAATTTCCGAATTCCCAGCTTCCGATTGCCTCGATTTTTGTTTTTACAACCGATCTTAATCCATCACTGCGACACCGTCCCTGACGCCGTCCCATTCTCTCGTTTGCGCCCTGCTCTTGCTGCGCCGTTCCTGGACGTTCACAGTTCAGCGACATGGGTGCCACGAACGGTTCTTCCGGCGTCTTCGCCATCACCAAGACCCGACTTTTGCTAGTTGCGTCGCTCGCCATCACGTTCGTCTTTCCCGTCGCAACCTCACCTGAAGCTTCACTGGGGAATGACATGCTGACCACGTTTGCAGATGGTGGTTTGCTCATCTCCTGCCGAGCTACAAGCCTATGATCAAGGCCGAGTTCAAGTCGAGATTGGACGAGGCTCGTCAGAAGATGCCTAAGATCAAGGTTGACTGGAAACCCGACCTGAGCAAAGACCCGAGATCCAACTACAATGCATCCAAAATAGCATTGATCATCGAGCCGCGCCCTATTCCGCATCTCGTACCCCAGCTGTTGCACATGACCTCGGTGGTGCCTCCCGATTGGAGATTCCTATTCATCGGCTCCAACAAGAGCGTTGTCAGCGTCGCCCGAAGCTACGGCATCAAGCACCAGCAGGTTATCGGAAAGCTCGACTTGATGGTCCTCCCTGAGCCCTGGGAGATTGACACCAAAGAACACGTCTTTCGCCTGTTGACCGATATTCGCTTTTACGAAGAATTTCTCCCCGGCGTGGAATGGATTCTAAAGTTCGAATCCGACAGCATCCTCTGCTCCAACTCACCGACTAGTCTCAACGAGTGGCTCGACTGGAGTTGGGCTGGCGCACCCAAGTAGGCCCCCCTCGAATGGCCTCCCTCGCGGCCCTCATCCCTTGCTAACCTCGTTCACAGGACCCCTGATGATCGCTTTTCCGGCAATGGTGGACTCTCTCTCCGACGAGTGTCGTCCATCAAGAGAGTGTTGCAATTCCAGGAAAGATACAATGACACTGAAGCCGAAGACGAATGGTACGGGAAGAGACTTTGGGTCATGCAGGGCGAAAAGGTAGCTCACGGCAGAAAGGGTGTTCTAGCAGTGGAAGACGTCTACATGGAAAAGCCCATGGGTTACCACGTTAAGGATGGCGGCCAGGGAATCTCCGACAAGGTGTGGAAGAATCCCACGCAACGGAAGAAGATTTTCGACTACTGCCCTGAGCTCAGCTTGATCATGGATATGAAGTTGGAGCGCGAGCGCTGCGAGGGCGACAACAAAGAAGGCAGCATCGGCCCAACGGACGAAGAGAAAGAAAAAGCCGCTGAAGAGGCCAAGAAGCAAGCCGAAGAAGCTGCCAAGAAGCAGGAAGAAGAGGAAGAGCGCCGGAAAAAGGAAGGCGAAGAAGAGAAGCAAAGACAAGCGGAAGAAGAGCGCAAGAAAGCTGAACAGGGTTCAGGAGTCACCAAGGCAGATATCGATGAGCTCCTCAGCGAAGACGACATGCTCAAGCTCGACTATGGTGCTGGCGGCAGTGGCGCCTCAGGGTCCAGCTCAGCAAATGCCGATGATGCCGACGCAAAGGCCAAGGCGATGGCTGCTGCGGCGCAGGCAAAGGCTGCCGAGAAGGCTCAGAACGCCTAAGTCTGATGGTCAACCGATGAGCAGACTGGTGTACACCACCAAAAGCGTGTCCGGGTCCCTAACGGGTCTCGGCAACCTGAACTGACAATTAACTCTCGGCTCTCGGCGTGCCGAGCCTCATAGTTTGAGGACGTTGAGCATCTAGTTCGGTACGATAACAAACAACGCTGAGAAGACGGCGTTCAAGCTGTTGTGGCGAAGAGCGAGATGAAGGCAAAGTCTATGGCCTGATTGACAGAGGACAGCCTGTATCGTAGGGTTGTGGCGTTTGGCGATGACCGAGAATACCGCAAACAGCCATGTGGAGAAGACCTACTCGCCTTTTCCAGCGACGTCGCTTGTAAGAACAACGAATGGTCCGATAATGGATTTGAGAGGTATACCAATTCCGGAGAGGGAGGGGTGTGGCGTCGGGGCGTACTGGAGTTATGAACAGCCCAACCTTATCCAACAAAGTCGCAGCCGGAATGTCGGCACGTCAGTCAGCGCAGATCAGGAAGCTGATGTGGAATGCTGTTGGGCAACAGACAGCAATCAAATGATATTTCATTAGCACAACAAATCTGCTTGCGAGTGGACCATCACACGATCCGAGTAGTAGTGTCTCCGTGATATGTTACACAAACGCACCAGCCGATGACTATCCTACCTTACCCAGTGCCACGCCCATGGTTCACTTAGGCTCGGCTGGCACGGCTGCTTCCCGATTCTGGGGACTAACTTGGAAGCAAACTTTCGGGTTCGGATCGATCTGACCCAGTGACGATGTCCTATGGCGGGGATGTGCACGATTTGATTTGATCTTCCTACATACTGCATCTGCAAGGCTTTGTTCGCTTGCGTGCGGCGGCGCAGAGTTCAGTTGACGTTCAAAGTTTCTTCATCTACGATTGTCCATGATTGTCAAAGCTTTGCTTGTGATACCAAGCTGCCGGATCGTCTTGCGTCTGTTCTTGACCTGAGCTACATGGCTTAGTACTCTTGCATTCTATGCTTCCATGCTTCCGTGCTCTGCATTAGGTACTAACACGCCCATTCTTGTAGCTACTAATGTACTTAGGGGGGGAGCTGTCAATGCCAAGAGCACATGGCCTCGAGGTCAGACTGTCAGTGAAAGGAGCTTGAACCACATAATGGGACATACTTTGGGGCAGATGGGCTAGATCCTAGATTACAAGGAGAAAACTCCACCAAAACCTGGCAAAAGCCTGGCCAAGAAGTTACCAAAGATGGCCGTGTGTCAGGGGGACGGGCTCACCTGCGGTGGTGCAGCAATGCCAAGGGTCTAGGTTTCCCCACGTTGCAGTGCTCTCACCCTCTCTCTCTCCTCGTCTCCTCGGAGAAGCCAAGGGTTTTACGAGCGTAGGCTTGCCTACCATTCGCAGAGACCGAAAGAGTAGATAGGTACTACCTTACGCTAGGAGAGAAAGAAGAGAGTGGAGGGTGAGGGGGAGAGAGAGAAAGAGGCTCAGCGTGGAGGAATGAAAGATGTGATCGGCCGGGAACCCGTCCTGCCCGTCCGCATCCGTCCAACTTTCTATTTTTTCTCTCCGATCTTGCGAGAGCGAGAACCCAGTCTCTTGGCCAGTTCGTCCGAAGACGCTACTGCCAGGCACCGAGGCCGTCTTCGAACTAGAGCCCCCGGCTAGCCCACGTCCTTTCCCACAGCGTGTGTGGACGTTCTCGACCCTGAACTCATGGGATGGAATGGGGGTGGGATTGGAACGGGTACTGTCTTACTTCTTTTTTTTTTGCGATTCCGTTTACCACTCGCATACAACAAGCAGATACACGAGATCGGTCCTCTGAAGCGAAAAAAGAGCGCCACCCCGGCTTTCCCAGGAGCGGCAGGGCTTGTCTCTGTTCTTATCCGTACCGGTCCTGGCTGACTTTCTTTTTTTGCCCGGCGAGATCTGGGTTGGGTTATGGTGCTTCGCCTCCTCGGATCTGTGGTCCAACGATGTTTGCCCGCAGCGTGGCATTCTTTCCATGGTCCATCGGACCATCACACACTCTCTCGAAGCCCATGCATGAGAGAGAGGTGCAGGTATTCCCGTCGTTGCGTCTCCGTCAAGCCACTTGGCGTTGCTACGGCGTCCCACATCTGCTCGACGGTCCGTCAAAGTCGCAACCGGTGGCTTGTTCCGCCTACTAGCCCCGCCTTGACCGCGTTGCTCTCGTGGTGTGTGATGACTGTGAGTCTCGCCTTCGCCTTTCTGCCCATCTCGCTTCTCTCGTTTATCCGTACCTACATCGGTTCGATCATGACCTCTATCCGTTTGTCCTTCTTGTCGGTTTTTTTTTCTTTCCCCTCTCACTGTCTTCGGCATGGTCTCACCCTAACAATCTTGCCCGTCAAATCTTTTTTATCGGCCGCGAACCGGGGGCTGGCAGACTCCATCATGGCGCCAGATGGACCCTTCTGGATAGGTAGGCCAAAAAAGAATGTGTGGGACGGTTTTCGGAGTGAATCGAGTAACAAGCGCGCGTCATTGTCGTTCTCTCTCTCCTTCTTTCTCCCATTCTTACCGATTCCATTGAATCCATGATGTGGTTCTCTTTCTACCCGTCCCGGACGGCGCGAGCTTGGAGGGGAGGGTCCCTTCGACGCCACGCTAACTTTCCCGTACCCGGTAGACCTGCTCCCAAGCTAGTCCCCTCGATCCTCCAATTTCCATTGTGGTATTGCTCGGTCCTCCCAGTCGGATGGGGATGGGGGGGGGGGGGGAGGGGTGTGGGGCGCGGGCGTGTAAGTGGTGTTGGTGTGTGTCTTTTTGCGGCCATCGCCAAATCTGGCTATGGGAGAAGTCTCTCATGGAGAATGTCACTGCTGCCGTTTTCTACTGCGACATCAAACATGAACGCCTCCCCCGGTCTCTCGTCTCCCCTGTATATAACACTGGGGACCGCACGGGTTTCTTCATGATGTTGTTCTTTTTCGGTATCCCTCTATCAAGGTGCTTCAGTATCCTAATAAAGAAAGCCTAAGAGCACTCTTTCATCTCTTAGGTTGTTTTCTTCGAGTTTGTTTGTTTCCTTGAAGACAATCCTTTGGAGTAGTCGAATACTACTACTTACATCAACCTAATCACCGGGTCTGTTGGTAATATCTTTTTTTCGTTCATTTTAGTAACGACACGAGTCATCATGCGTTGGACTCCTGTTGTATTAGCCACTCTTGCAGGGCTACAAGCAGCTCATGCTCATGACGAGGATGAAGTTCCTCACCCCAACATGGTGTTGCCTCGTCTTCGCGATGTGGACGAGCTGAGACAGAGACGGAATGCTTTCGAGCCCTGGAACCCGCCGACGGTAGCCAACAAGCCACGCGCAGACCGCGTGAAACTCAGCCCTCGCCAGACGTCATCAATCCCGTTGGGAGACAACTCGCAGTGTGGAGGAACATATGGTAGATGTGCCGATGGATACTGCTGTTCAGCTTCTGGGTATGTTGCAACTGAATCCCCTGTCAACGGTTCTTGTCTAACAGTGCAACTAGATGGTGTGGTCAGACTGAGGATTACTGCGCGTCCCCCGATTGCCAGATCAACTATGGTCCCGCATGCGATGGTAATGAGAAGCCTAACGGCCCGGATACTTCGGACTATGCAAGACCAAAGAATGGCAACATTCCCTATGGTGGTGTTGGCATCTACGCCTGCGTCAACCAGGGTGATGTCGCCATCACATATGATGACGGTCCTTACATCTACACCGCTGCTATGTTGGATGCCTTCAAGGCTCACGGTGCCGTCGCTACTTGGTTCATCACGGGCAACAATATCGGCAAGGGCATGATCAATGTCAACTACCGCGATGTCATCACAGTAAGCGTCTCAGTTATGCCTCTTTGTTAAAGCTTATTCTGACCGCCTCCAGCGAATGATTGCCGATGGTCACCAGGTTGCCAGCCACACGTGGTCCCACGAGAACTTGGATCAGATGACGCTCGCCCAGCGCAAGAACCAGATGGTCTACAACGAGATTGCCTTCATGGACATTCTCGGTTTCTTCCCTACCTACATGCGCCCGCCTTACTCCATCTGCGGAGCCGAGTGCCAAGGACAGATGGCCGACCTGGGCTACCACATCACCTACTTCGATCTCGACACCCAGGGCTACCTCCACACGCAGGCCGACCAGATCCAGTTCAGCGTGAACCTTTGGGACCAAGCCATGCTGGCCCGCACGCCTTGCAACGGCAGCTACCTGCACATCGAGCACGACATCCACCAGTACATCGCCACGACCTTGACGAACCACATTCTCGACTCCGTCGTAGCCAACGGCTGGAACGCCGTCACCGTCGGTACCTGCCTCGGCGACCCCCCAGAGAACTGGTACCGCGGCGCTGTGCCGGCCTACAACTTCCAGATCACCCCCGTCAGCTCAAAGGTCTGCTCCAGCACCTCCAGCTCCTCGTCCAGCTCGACCAAGACGTCCTCGTCGTCTACCCTCACCTCGTCCGCGACCTCCACCTCGACCGCCGTTTCCACCAACGGCCAGTGCGGTTCCACCGTCGGCTTCACCTGCCAAGGCTCCGCCTACGGAAACTGCTGCTCCGGCGCCGGATGGTGCGGTTCCAGCTCCGTCTACTGCGGCACGAGCTGCCAGTCCAAGTACGGCACCTGCGGAAGCTCAGCATCCAACATTACTTCTTCTTCGAGCATTGGCACCTCATCAGGTAGGACCTCTTCTTCCTCGTCCACCCGCAACAGCACCAGCACCAGCACCAGCAGCTCTTCTCGCACCGGCACGTCGAGCTCCAGCTCCCGCACCGGTACCAGCAGCAGCGGCAGCTCATCCCGCACCAGCACCTCCTCCCGCACCGGCACTTCCAGCTCCGGGTCGTCCACCCGCAGCGGATCATCATCATCGTCGTCGTCGTCGTCTAACACTCGCTCGTCCTCAGGCTCCTCCTCAGGTACCGGCACAGCGTCCTCCTCAGGCACCGGCACAGCATCCGCCTCCAGCTCCGCCGCCTCGTCCACCTCGACGCTCCCCGTTTCCACCGGCGGCGACTGCGGTGCCGCCAGCGGAAAGCAGTGCTTCGGCTCGACTTTCGGCAACTGCTGCTCCGTCTACAACTACTGCGGCAGCACCGCCGCTCACTGCGGAACAGGCTGCCAATCCGCCTTTGGTACCTGCAACGGCACATCGTCAGCTTCCGGCAGCTCCTCTGCCAGTGGCGCCAGCTCCTCTGGTGCCGCCAGCAGCTCCGGTTCCGGCTCAGCCTCCGCCAGCGGCACGTCCTCTGCCTCCGCCGTCCTCCCCAGCACCTCCCTCGTCTCCACCGACGGCTCATGCGGCGCCGCCGCGGGCAAGTCCTGCACGGGAAGCACATTCGGCACCTGCTGCTCCGTCTACAACTACTGCGGTACCACCGACGCCCACTGCGGCACCGGCTGCCAAGCGGGCTACGGCTCTTGCAACGGCACGACAGCTGCCTCAAGCTCAGGCGCTGCCGCTGCAGGCTCCTCTTCCGCAGCAACCCGCGCCTCCTCCGTCGTCGCAAGCGGCAGCACGACCGCCAACGCCGCCGCCGCGACAAACACAAAGATCTCGACAAACGGCGAATGCGCCGGCACAAACGGGTACAACTGCCTTGGCTCCAATTTTGGCGACTGCTGCTCCCCCTACAACTACTGCGGTAACACCACCGCCCACTGCGACACGGGCTGCCAGTCCGGCTTTGGCAAGTGTTCCGGCACGGGCGTCAACGTCGCCGTCTCGCTCAACGGTAACTGCGGTTCTACGAACGGCGGGTCGACCTGCGCCGGCTCGACGTTTGGTAACTGCTGTTCGGCGTACGGATACTGCGGTAGCACGTCTGCTTTCTGCGGCACGGGATGCCAGTCTGGATATGGTACCTGTGGTGAGTAAAAAATTACAACTTTTGCTTATATGACCTTGCTAATACGAGTTTGTTTTTGGCTAATTAGGTTAATTTTCACAGATACTTCTTCCGGGTCCGGTACTACCGCCGCAGCATCTGCAGCCACATCCGCGGCAGCATCCACCGTCAAGACGGTCACCACCGCCGGTGCGGCCTGCGGTTCGGCTGCCAACGCAAAGTGCGGCGACGGTTTCTGCTGTACGGCGTTCAATGTGTGTGCTAGCAGTAAGCTTGTGCTCGTCACGAACCCGGTTTGTTATGCCGCGGTGGGTTGCCAGACGATTTGGAGTAGCAGTTGTGCCTAAACAATGTTTGTAATGCATAATACAATGGGGAGCGAAGCGTCAAACGAGTGAGGGGAGATATTCAAAAGTTGGAATTATTTATTTTGGTTTCTGGCTTTTGTTTTTTTAAACATGGTCTCTCATTTACTTGGATTTTTTTCATCAAAGAGGCGTTGAGGGTTACTGGGACTTACACCATCGATATTGATAGAGCGATCGATACTACTCACCTTGAGGTACTTACTACCTACCATCACTTGTTATAACATAATACAGAATGGCAAATCGACCATCACCTTAAGTTTCTCCTTGCCTTGCCTCATTGTATTTTTCCGGCGACATTGATCATCCTTTGGACTCACACTCATGGTGATCCGTGATCCTCTTTATCCTTGGTGTCACTCATCTTTTGTGGTCCAGTCTAGTTTGATTGATGGTTTTATTGGTCTCAATGCGTATCTCGTTGCCCATATTCTCGTAAGCCCAAATTAAAGCCATTATCCTTTTGAGCGTTCCTCCTTGCTCATTCCTCCGAGATCCTCGGGCATTTCCTGATGGGTATCTAAGTTACAAACAAGCCAAAGAAGCCAAAGCCTAGGGGGTATATTAAGGGTTCCATCACCCAAAAACCTCTGGTGAACTCCTGAAGGCCGAAATCCTCGCCATCTCCCATTGCCGTTCCTCGTTGATGCAGTTTGTATGAGAAATGCGGCAAGTCAGCAAAGAAGTAGCAACCAATGTGTCCCGGTTCAATGAATCATAGCAAACTCCTCAAACCCGATTCCATCCTGTAGCTCATAAGGGTACCCTGGTAAAGCACGTACGGACTACTGCATCTGTCGCATGAACTGGCGATACTCCCGGTACTGCCGAAAATCCTTCTCAACAAGATGAATCTGCTGAACCAGGTACTCCGACGCCTGCTTCAGCTGCGCCATCCGACTGACGATATCTCCAACGTCCTTGACCCCACCCGGAAGTCGAGGCACCTGGCCTGGCTGGGCACCAAGCGCCAAGCCCTGCGCATCTCGAGCGAAGCCAGCCATCTTGTAGACCAGCGTCTGCATGCGCTCGACGCGCTTGTTGCCGGCATCGAGACTCTCCTCGTAGCGCTCCTTTTCGAGGCGCGAGGCCTCAAACATGGCCGATATGGCCTCGCTGTAGAACTTTTGGGCACGGACCTCAAAGTCGTGGGCCTCCATGACGAACTTGCGGAGGGCGTCGCCTTCGGCGGAGGTGACGTAGGCACCGCGGGACGCGTCAGTGATGAGGGGGAAGGGGCTGACCAGGGCGGCGTGCTCGGTACGGAGGGCGTCGGCGTGCTTCATCTTGTCCTGGGCCTCGGCTTGCTTCTGGGCGATGAGGGTGGTGAGGCGGGCGATGCGCGAGGCGGAGGCCTGCTCGGCTGCGATCCAGGGGTTGATGGGAGGGGCATGAGGGCCAGCGGAAGCTTGAGCAGCGGAGTCCTGAACAGCAGAAGCCTGATCAGCGTTTCCATGGACAGCGGAATCCTGAGCCACAGCCTGGGGCGCGAGAATGGGAGCATCGGTTGGCAGGTTGGCGGCGGAGGGAGTACTGTAGATGGCCATAGGAGCCTCAGGGGCGGTATAGGCGGCAGGGTTGTTGTCGTTGTCGGAGGGACCACCAGACGGGCCGACAGGTAAGGGAGTCTCCTGGTTGTTGGAGAAGCCAGGAGGGCCGCCGGGGTTGTAGCCGGTTGGAGCCATGCCATAGTTGCCGTAGCCATAGTCATCATTGGCGAGGAAGGTGGACGGCTCGCGAGCAGGGCTGAACGGATCGTGGTAGTTCGCAATAGGGAAGTTGGCTGGGTTGCCATAGAGAGAGACGTTGCCAAGGTGCTCGTTGTCTTCAGTCATACCTGAGATTGGCGCATTAGGGAACCTGGCCGGGTTATTGAAGAGAGAGCCGTTGTCGAGGCGCTCCTCATCCCGCTTCATGCCCGGGATAGGGTTGAGGAAGATATTGGGCGAGATAGGGCGATCTGGAAGAGGAAGTTCCATGATATCGCCGATAGACGGGCTTCTGGGGACTTCGGGCATGAGAGGGAGGACGGGGCGCAAGTCCTTGGGGACCTCTTGTGCCTTGGCGAGGAAGTTGAGACGGGGAGTGTCCTTGTTCTCGAAGAAGGGGAGCGAGGTGGTCGCCTCCTGAGCCAAGTATCCTCTCTTGGGCGATGGACCAGGCACCATATCCTCAACGGCAGAGGCTGGTCGCTTGTGGATAGGGTGGCTGACGACAATAGCCTCGGGGTTCCAAGGGGTGCCGTCAATGTTGTGGACATAATCGCCAGTGATGTCCCCAGAGAGGATTTTTTTGTTGTGATGATTGATGAGGCCTTGAACAGTCCACTCATTCAAGTGGTGAGCCACATCAGGGTTTTTGGCGTAGAAGTCCTTCTGGAACTCAAGAGCTTGACCCTCTAGAGCAAGCGAGTCCGAGGCGAGACAGAGTGCAATAACGAAGTGCGAAGGAGGCTCAACATTGGAGACATATTCCGCGTTGACCTTCCAAAAGAGAGTGCAGTTGACAGGGTCGGGGGTGTCGATGAAATAATCGATGGTCTTGATGAGTGTGCTGCGGTAAGTGTCCGAGACGGTCGCGGGAATGCGATTGACTATCTTCTTTTTGAAGTCGACGAGATCGACAAACTTCTCCTCTTCGGCGAAGTGATCCATTGTGACTGCTTTGTCTGCTGCTGATGTTGTGCTTGTGAAAGAGTAGGCGAGTCTGCTCTATGTAAATGAGCAAAGGCTGTCAAGGAACAGTGCTCAAGCTAGGTCATGAACAATGAGATGCTTTTGTAGGCCTGATGCTGAATTATATGTGCGGCTCTTCACTGGCTTGTATGAGTGAGAAGATATACCTGATTCAGAGGCCAAGACGTGAAGTCAGTGGCTTCTTTTGACGGTACTGCTTGGTAAGTGATGAGATGAGCGGGTGGTAAGCGTGAGGAAAAGTTCATGGACCGCTTTGGGGGAAAGTTGTCGAGAGGAAAAAAGAGGCTGCTTAGGGGAGAGTGGGGGGAAAGGTCGAACCTGCCGTGAGTCTGTCAATCTCTTTTGAGGAAGGAGCGATGAGCAAGTTAGGGCTAGTGAACGCAGTCAGAGGTTGAACTTTTCTACAAGAATAAATAATGGCCAGCATCTCTTGGGAAGAGGTGATTCGGAATATACACGATTAGTCTTAATGATCCCAAGTCACGTGCTGAGGTATGAAGTGAGGCTGTTGATAAACGTGAAAAGGTGGGTACAAGATGTGAGGTAGTGAGGATGAAGTGGGTGAGACTGGAGTGTGTGAGATTGGAGTGGGCGAGGTGAAAGTGATTTCGAGCAAGGCAATCGGCCACATTGCTAGACTGGCTTATGCTTCCAGTAGGCACTTTGACTTTTCTTCATCTCCACCTGCCCCCTTTTACTCTCGATCTTGGTAGCCTTTCCTTGTTTCTTGCTTCATGTTGTATTGCCTTGTGTATATGAAAAGCTTAAGTTGGTGTGTTTGGAAGGTCTAGTGGGCGATTCCTAGAGACGACATGTTCAAACTTCAATCCTTCTCTGCAATTTGTGGTCCAAACACGGACTTCATTTTTGGGGTAATACACCACTTTTAACCATTTCCTCGTCTACTTTCGTCTGATTCGGAGTACGCGGACGAAGACTGGATCCGAGGTGGTATTTCTGGTAGAACGTACGGCAAAACAGCTAGACTTAGGATGTAACTACAGGCGATCTCTGATAAGTCGAACGCTCAATCATTTGCGGTGTCGTGTCTGAACCATGCAAAGGCTCAACTCACGCATCTCGATGTTTGTAAGCATTCCTATTGCTGGGTTCTCATGTTTCCAGTTTTTGTCTGGCTGATGTCTGGCATGATGGAATTCTGGATCTATTGCCTCTCAAGAATTGTCCTGGTTATTTGCTAATACAAATGAAAGACTCCATTCCACAATCTGCCGTTACTCTGTCGCCTTATGCCTGAGATCTCTTGAAGCCGCTCTCATTCGGTCCAATCTACGTCCTGAACTGGGGCGATGATTTGGGCCTGGATCATCAAGATCATCAAGATCATCAAGATCATCTAGTCCGCTGCTGATTAAAATAAGATCTCGGGGTCGAAGGAAGCTGGTTGGAAGTCTTTGTGCCACACAGGTACGACGAGGCAGAGCAGGATATAGATAGAAGAAGCAATCTGGAGACAGAAACTCGCCGACAATACTAAAGACGGGGGAATTACTCAAATGCGTGTAAAGTTTGAGACAACATCCATTGACTCGGCCTCCAATTGGAAAGACGGGAGAAAGATCATAGGTTTGGGTTTCCTATCCTAAGAAGCCCCATCGGGGACGTGCTAATATCCCGGGCAGAGTCAGCGGGATCGCTCGCCTTCGGTAATGCTTAGCGTCCTCCGGGCCCCGGACGCCCCACCTGCCGGGACGGCGCTCGCGGCTACGGTAGCAGCATTGAAGGGCCAAGGTGCCTCATATCTACCTTTCCATTTGTTTGCGCCTTGACATTTGTGTAGCAGTCAGAATTCATTGGTGTAATGGAAGACATTCTCAGAAGAAAAGGCAAATAATCGCCGTGAAGGGAGAGGCTCTGAGCGAGTATCCATCCGGGTACATGCATCCACTCCGAATTCTGACAGTTGTCTCGCGCCCAACTCGTCTTGTACATCCTGGAGCACTTGAGCCTGGTGTAATGGGTATAGTTTGTATCCTTTCGAAAACAGAGGGCGGAACGACTGGAGAGCACTAGAAAGGTTCTAACTCCCGATCTCCGATCACCGTTCTCCCCCTCACCAGCAACCTGTAATCCGGACCCCACCACAGACCACATCACCCAATCAAAGTCTCTGATAGAGGTGGTGCAGTGCAGCAATGTACTGCACTAACAGTGCACATCGCCGCGTTGGAACAGAGCATATCGACGAATTCGAGGACAGCGCTCTTTGTGGTTAAAATCGGAGTTGCATCGGGTGCTTTTACGGATTG